TACCAGGAGGGGGATGTGGGTGGTAGTGTGGTCTAAACCACTGGGCCTCTTGAGCTTGCTGATTGGAAGGTCAGCGGTTTGAATCCACGTAATGGGGTGAGCTCCCATTGCTCTGTCCGAGCTTCTGCCAACCCAGCAGATCAAAAGCACACCAGTGCAAGTAGATAAATAGGTACCGCTGCGGTGAGAAGGTAAATGGCATTTCCGTACACTCTAGCCTTCGTCAGTGTTCTGTTGCACCAGAAGTGATGTAGTCATGCTGGCCACATGACCTTGAAAGCTGTCTGTGGCCACTCTCTTGGCCTGAAGCAAAATGAGTTCTGCACCCCATCGTTTTCTTTCACTGGACTTAACCGTCCAGGGGTCCTTTACCTTTACCTTTTATACCAGAAGAGCCGTTGTGCTATATTACATATACCCCTCCAGCTTGGTAGATCTGGAGTTTGATTGCACAGTATGTCAATAAATCTAAACAGGATTACACAACCTTTTTTCAATCACAGTAAAATATTTATGCAATGCATCCATTTTAGTCATTATGGATGCAAATGTTTATTACTTGTGTTCTTATAAGTATAGTATAGTTTAATTTTGATATTGAGGACAGAGAGATTCTAACAGATAGATTTAACTACATTCTTTTGAACACATTGATTAGATGAGTATTCTCTTCACTTCTATAAACATGATGAAAGCAATTAAATGTAATATTTACCATTAGCTCCATATTTGTGGTAATTAAATCTACTTGTTACAATTCATTCTTGACAATCATGTGAACATAACATTTGGCAATCCTATTTCCCCTAAGAATAAAAATTGCTTCTTGATTTGATGGGCCCTAAATAATACAGTGCATATATCTTTGCCATAAGAAGCGCCCTGCTGGGTCTGATCAAGGGCTTATCTACTTCAGCATCCTGTTCCACTGAATTCCCAAGCAAAATTCATTCATTCAGCATTTTTTTACACACCTTTCAGGGCCACAGTGCCCCTGAGAAGCCAACAAGCAGGACAGGTGGACAGAGTTGTTTTCCACTATTCCCCAGCAACTGATATTCAGAAGATGTTACCTCTGATCCTGGAGATAGCATAGCAGTCACTGGTACTCTTATTTTCCCACTTGCTAGCATATATTTTTGTGCTTCACTTTTGACCTTAAATTTCAAGGTGACATTTTAAAAGCAATTTTTAAAACAAAGCATTATTAGCCTTTCCAACAGCTCAGGGCTGCTACAGTGATGAGGACAGGGGAGAAATTTCATTGTTTCTGCATTTTAATAGGGTTGTGACCATGAATCAGATGCTTCCTAAATAGATCAAACAAATCCCTGTCTTAAGCAATGACTTGATGGGGCATTATAAGAACAAGGCAATGAAATCTAATAATGCTATCCTTCCAACTGACATTGGAACGTTCTCATTTGCTATTAAGCTGCTGCGTGATAGTGAATTGTCTTGTACTACTAAACATAAGTGATTGTGTTATTAGCATGCAGAAGGATGTAAATTGTTTAGGATTATCTTTAAAAGCCCAGAATTTCAATTGGCTCATTATCGGTCTGCTTATTTCATGCTTGCTTCTATTACAGATTAAGAGACTCTAGACAACCTGTTTTTCCCTCCTGCCCCATTTATAAACCAGTATTTATTTTCCTGGTATAGTGCAGTGTAAATAAATAATGGGTTCAAGCAGAGAAAATGGAAGTGTGAGACCTACATAATAATAATAATAATAATAATAATAATAATAATAATACTGCAGAGAGAGGTTTTCCTGAGTTCCATTTGGCTGTCTCTTAATTATGCTAAGGTTAGAAATAGGAAGACAAAACTCCCCCCCCCCCAAAAAAAATATAAAATTAATATGGATTTTGGAATTTTTGTTGGCCCTATTAATATGGTATTACCCTAAAATGGATTATGGAGGTAAATCCCCCTACAAAATCCCCTAGACCTGTTTGTCTAGAATTTGGTGGAATTAATACACCATGGAAGGAATCCTATTTCATCCACTTGGGCACAAAGGAGAAAATGTTATGGCCATTTATAGACTCCAAGTGAATGCGGAACACAACACTTTGTTTTATGTTGAAGACCTTAGAACAGAGCAAAGTGTAGAGTGCACTGAGCAACTCAGAAACAAACCAGAATGTTAAAAAATGCAGTTACAAGGCAAATCTTAGGGCATGTACACACCCATAATATATAGCTCCTGTCTAGCACTTTGTATTATCCACCACAGTGTCCTAATGAACATGCCTGGTTTAACCAGGGTATAATAATACAGACACTCTTCTGAAACGAGCTTGATTGTATGAAGGCTGCATGTTTCATGAGAGTTTCATTCAGTATATTGCATTATTACATTTAGTTCTTTCATGTCTCCCAAAATGTGGTCAGCAGTGTCAAAACTGACAGTGACATCTGCCATGTGCTGGGTATATGATTCTAATGTAATGATTGGAATGGCGTGTATAACCCCAGGATGCAAAAATCCACCCATAGGTATTTCATATTTCATACCTACGGGACCGCCTCTCCTGGTATGCCCCACGGAGGACCTTAAAGTCCATATATAGCAACACCCTAGAGGTCCCGGGCCCTAAGGAAGTTAGATTAGCCTCAACCAGAGCCAGGGCCTTCTCAACACTGGCTCCGGCCTGGTGGAACACTCTGTCTCATGAGACCAGGGCCCTGCGGGATCTGATTTCTTTCCGCAGGGCCTGTAAGACAGAGTTGTTCCACCTGGCCTTTGGCTTAGAATCAGTTTGATTCCCTCCCCCTCTTTCTTTTTCCTTTCTCCTTCTGTGAAGAGGCTGCATCCTAATGTTTTAATGTTGTATTTTAATCTTTTTTAAAATTGTATTTTAATCAATTTGTTTTTATTATTGGTTGTTAGCCGCCCTGAGCCTGGTCTTGGCTGGGGAGGGCGGAGTATAAATAAAAATTTATTTATATAAAGGATTCACAGTTCTCAGTCCCACTGGGAATCTGTACACACAAACTTTCATGTGCACGACTATTCCCTTTAACTGATGGTGTATGTGTGCACATACAATGTTTCATGTTTTGCTTCTTTGTCCTAAAAAGGCAGGTGGCACAGCTATCTAAAACATCTGCCACACAACAAAATAGTATTTTGCCCTGAATGCCTAATACTAAAACTTGCAATATATTTTTAACGCTGACTCAAAGAAAAATAGGTTTACTTGCAATACATTTTTTGTTTCTCAAGTGTGTGGTTAAAAACAAAGTGTAACAGAATGGATTTCTGCATTTCATAGTCATGGATGGAAGCACATAGATACACCCAGGTATAGCACATAAAGAAAACTGGACGTTTTAATGAAATCTGACAATTTGACCTGCTCAGAGCAAGTTGTTGCCTTGTTGCTTAGAATTCTGTTTATCTCTTCAAAAGAAAATTGCCTTGACAAATGCTATCCAGGCGCTTCCTGATTACAGGGATACAATTATCCAAGGGACAAACGATTTCACTACCATCTCCTGTTACAAAAGGATTATATTACTTTTGACAGAGAATCTATTCCATGTACCTTGTGCCCAGTGAGGTCATTAAAAAATTGCAAGGTCACCAAACAATGAAAAATTGACTGTCCCAGTTGACTTTTTTATATGTTCAAGTAACACAGTATTGTCAGAAGAAATGATAATCAAATTTTAATGTCTTTGTCCTCCAAATATCTTTCAAGGCTGTCTTGCGATGTAAGAGAGGGTCAAAAGCATGTAAAGATGTAACCATGGTTTACTACTTTCATAAAGCCCTGAAAAGAGTACCGGTAATCATTACTCCTAGATACTTATTAAAGGGAGCTAGATTACTGTAAAAGAGGTTCTTTATTACTAGGTTTAGGCCATCATTCCCAAAGTGAATGCTTCCTATCTGCAGCACCCAATCCCCACTGAAAAGCTAAATTGCTCTTGGAAGGGTGTGAGAAATTAGTGAGTCCCCTGAATGAGCAGATATGTTCTGTTAGAAGAGCAGTTTAAAAACAAAAAACCCAGGTAATTGATTTTATGTATGATTCCAAGTAATAAAGCGGCCAATGAATTCAAGTCCCTCCCTCCGCTGATCAGCTCTCTGAAACTTATTCATTTACTGACCGTGAATCCTGTGCATACTGACTCAGAAGCAAGTCCCACTGGGTTCAAAAGGGTTACAGGTATATAGGAATATAGCCACAATATACATTTTGCAAAAACCATGGTATGGATGGCAGAAAGATAAAGAACAGCTTCTTTTAAAATGTGTGGTGGCTATAACCTTGTTTATCTTGTTTATTGGAAAAGTCACCTTTAAGTCATCTTTTCATCAACTTTGGGAATACAAAATATTACAAAAAACATACTAGATGCAAAAGGCCTTCGGAAATAAACACATTCATCATTATTGCTAAAAATCCAGATTTATCACCTTGCCTGGAGTTTTGTGTTGTTTGAAAAGCAATTCTAACTTAACTTTTATTCATCTGCTGGTTTTGGATATAACATGAAGGGGGAAATCCAACCTAAGTGTCCTTTTAATCATAGCCCCAAAATTCAACACTTTCTAACGCAAATTGTGAGATCCAGTTTTCCTCTCCACAAAAAAGCTTTCCTGTGGGCTCCATCTCTGGGCTTCGGACTGAGGGTTTCTGGTTCCAGGAGTGGCTCAGCCTGTGGGATGCAGCCGGTAACATTAGCATCCCTGCAATGGCTTCCCTGCAATGGCTTCCCTGCTGGTTATTGGGAGCATAGCTGTCAACATTTCCCCTTTTTTTAAGGGAAATTCCCTTAATGCGAATAGGATTTCTCACAAGAAAAGGGAAAAGTTGACAGCTATGATTGGGAGGGATGAGATGACTGTAAGGCACACTGGTGGGAGCATTGTGTTGGCTCCACTGGTGGAACTGGACATTCACAGACTCACAGAAATGTAGAGTTGGAAGGAACCTCAAGGGTCATCTAGCCCAACCCCCTGCAATGCAGGAATCTTTTGCTCAACGTGGGAATTGAACCCATGACCCTGTGATTAAGAATCTCATGCTCTACCAACTGAGCGTAATAAGCAGCAGCTGTACTGCAGCCAAGAGTGTATCCAGGGCTTTTTTTCAGCCAGAACTGTCTTGAACTGCATTCCAGCACCTCTCAGCTGGGGCCTGGAAGTGTGGGGATCTGACTAGCCTCAGCAAAGCCCCCCATGAAGAGACCCTCCCTGGAGCCTGAAGGGAACATCGTCTCCGGACTCCAGAGAGGATTTCCTCACGAGCCGGAGGCAAAGTGGGGCTTTGCTGAGACTCTTCAGCCGCCCAGCTAACAGTTGACATGTGGGAAAGCCACGCCTCAGCTGAGGAAAAGCAGCCCACAGCTGCTCCGGTTCACACGAGCCAGAGAGGGGCTCATTAAGCTTTTCAGCTGAGAAAAGAAGCCGCCTTGCGCCTCAGCGGAGCAGCCTCAACAAGCCTCTGGATGGAGAAGACCTGGGAGCAGCCGTTCCCTCAGACTGGCAGGGGCATCTTGTTTTCATGAGATGTAAGCCATTTTGGGAGCTTTTATGGCCAAAGAAAGGGGTACAAATGCTCTAAAGAAAGAAATAAGGAGTCTTGGTGACGTTTGGCCTTTGGGCCTGAGCTAGCGGATATAGGTTTGATGTCAGGGCAAGAAGACTATAAACACAAAAAGCTCTATTGTGTTATTATTAATATTATGTGGATGGCCCCACTTCCCATGTAAGATAAAGCTGTGTATTTTCATTTTATTGTGTGTGTGTAGGTGTGATGGGAGGGGGAGAGAGAGAGAGAGAGAACACAAAATGGTGCCTCCATAGAGTCGTAATATTTTGTTTCATGCTCCATAGCTACTAAACATTAAATATCCATTACCTATCCATGTGCCAGAAATTCCTCGGGACAACGTATCTGATTGACTCTATTTGTTGCACTGAGCTGGCAATTTGCACCGAGCTAATATATAAAATCCAGCTTGCTCCCGACTATCCCTGCGCACCAGATGTTTTCCATTAATAAGGCCCCCAGCTACCTCCTGCAGCAGAATGTTGCTTGTCTGCCTGTCACCGAGCTCCTTCATGGCTTTCCAGAGAGTACGGCACGCACCTGGAGCCATGCAGATGCGTGGGTAAGACAAGTAAAAGGGAAATGCTGGGAGTGTAGAATAAATGCTGCATGCCATGCACATTTTTTTGACAGAGGCAATTGAGGGAATTTGGAATTATCAAGTTTTTTGAAAAGAACTACAGGCAGGGCCAAAGAATCGCCACACTGCGTTATAGCACTGAATTTGAGACCTTGCTCTTGAGTGGCACTGTTTTGATTACTCCAGGCAGCAGGGGTTACAGTCCCTGGTAATGCACCTGGCTCCTGATCATCCATGACCAGTATAACAATGGTCAAATCCTTCCCATGGTTCCTGGTTCCTGGTTCCTGGACACATGATGCTGGATTGTTCGTGGGACAGCAGTTCAGGGTGTTTGTTCCAAATGGGTGATACTGTTGAATGATTTCATTGTGCCAGCTCCACCCATCACACCACCTACCAAATAACCCAAAGTCCAACCAGTGTGACTGATGCTCTTCCAAGTGCCTGTCAACCTCCCCGTGTTTGCAGTCATAGACAGCGGGGGGTGGGGATGTGATTTCTAAAAGAAAGTTTTCAGCAATTTCTTTGAAGTTTCATAGCTCAAATATAGCAGTACTTCTGCTGTTTTCAGCTCCCCACTTGCTGTATGGCCAGCTCAAAAAAGCATTTTTCTACAAAGAACTATGCACTTGCAATGGAAATATTAGTTTATTTCATGCTGAAAAATTAGAAGCCATACATGGTGCACACCTAACTTTCCTCGCAGAAGGGGTCAGAAAAAAAGACTGATCTCTTTGTGCTATTGAACTCGGGCAATGTTGTTGAATTGCTGACTTCCTTTACCAAAGCTGTAATCGCCAGCAGCCAGACAGTTATTAATTCACATCACACACTGGGACTTGGGATCTCATCTAATCAGGACTCTGCAATATACTGTCATATTTATGGCCACTGAACAAAAAAATGATTCAAGGTAAAATTCTTTATGACATTTAAGCAGGTACGGAAATGTCATAAAGTAAGGCTGGCAAAATAATATTCATGTCCAACTGTCCAGTCATAAAAATGTATATATATTGGACCAGACTTATTTTGTTTGTGTCTGTTTGTTTGTATGTGTTCCACCTGTCTTAGCAACATGCCTTTCCAATCTCTCCTTAAAATGTTGTTTAAGCATGTTAATGGATCTCATACGTTTTCTCTCCCAGTTTGCCTCTATAAAGTGCTGATCTGTACTCTTCCATGGTGGGAACAGGAAAGAGGAATAAGCATTTAATATACTTTAAATTAGATTCTCTTTCCATCTTCTACTTAATGATAATTATACATTCCTATTATTTTACTTCTTTCCTACTCTAACTTTGGCTTCAAACATATTTAATTGCAAGTGCTTGACTTCCAAAAGTGCTGAGCACCTATCATCAACTAATAGTATAAATTGTTATCATTGCTGGCAGTCTTATAGGGTAGTCTCCAAGGTTTCACATATGGAAATATTATAGACTCCCTTAGGGTATCCTTGGGTTAATTATATACTCTAAGTTAAATGAAAAAATGAATGGCCCTACAGTGTGTTATCATTGCTGTTGCAGTATATGAAATGGCAGGCTGTCTACCCAGAAGTAAGGCTCATTCAGTTCCATGGGCCTTACTCCCAGATAATTAGATATAGGATCCCAGCCTTAATGTTCATACATGTGAAATTAAACTTGAGCAGAATCAGGATTAATTCCTTCCCCACCCTTCAATCAGAAATTTAATTCTGAGAGCCCTGGGGAACTGAGTGCAGAATGACATTTTAAATAATTCATGTGGACATATTTTTTTACAAGGTATCACTAAATAGCAAAAATGAGGATGGTAGGTAGGTGTCAGGAATGGTTACCAGAAGGTAAGGACAGCAGTCAAGGGAAACTGGAGCATAACTCATAGAATAGGAATGGGAAATCTGTGGCCCTTCAGATGTTCCTAGACTGCTATCATCCTTGACCGTTGGCTTATGCTGGCTCCATCTGATGCGAGTGCAGCCAAATCTGGAGAGTCATGGGTCTCCCGCCATTGCAGAAACATAGGCCTTCTATGGCTAATGGCACCAGCAGATCTGTCTGAATTCATGATGCAAGAGCCCTGCACTCTGATGAGCAAGAATAGCATTACAGCAGCACAGGTGACCTTGCAGTTCTGAACAACAGACAAGCATAAGTATAGCTGATGAAAGAGATGGTGTGTCTTTACTTCAAGCACCTATTCTAAAACAAGAATTCAGGAAGGCACGTAAGATCAGGCAAATTGTACTTTCAAACACCAGGTGAATTTCTTGCAGTCATGCATTGATGAACTGACTCCTGGGCTGAATGCTAGCCCCCACCCTTTCTGGCTCAAAATAGTTCAAGCCAGATGGTAGATGCTTCCAAAATCACTCTAGCAGGGCCAGTAGGTACTGTTTCGCTGCTTGAGGAGAAACAGGAAGTGGTCTCTGCCCTGCCACTGCTACCTGCCCCGCCTTTGCCACCAGCAGGGACGATTTCCGATGCAAGCTCTTTGATTTCCAGCAAGATGTCACACACCTGTGATTTCTGTGAGATCTCACAAAAAATTGCCAGAAATCAAGGTTGATGCTGGTGCTGCATCTCCAGGGGCAGTGGAGGCAATGGGGTGGGCAGAGGCTCAGGGGTTTCTGCAGCCTGAGGCAGCAGCTTAATCCCACCTAAGGGCTGGGCCGGCACAGTCCTCTAGCCTAAACTAGTAACAGAAGTGATAAGTCAGGCTGTGAGAAAGATGGAATGTGAAAAGGAGTGGTGTCAGAAATAAACTATAGGGAGTAGACAGCCTTGTGAAAGGCTCTGGAAGCCTTGGGATGTTGGTAGGTCCAACTGAGCTCTGGTCTCCCAGAATGAGCTGAAGAAGGATTTCTGCAAGACATATACCCTTCACACTAGTGAACTACTGTCAGTAAGAAACAACTCAATTTGACACCCATTGTTATATTGTAGCTGAGAGCAATTACTATTCATTTCCCCACCCTAAATTCAAAATTCTTTCTAGATTGACATTTGTGATAGTTCCTCCCTGAAATGATCTACTTAGTGCTATGGGACACACAGATAGGCACAGAAACTCAAGGTCTTCCCTGTCTGCCAAATCATAAGACTAGTTAAATTTGACATTTAGGGTTTTCTTTCTCCAGATTTATGATCCCTGAATGGCTTCTCTTTAGCCTTCTCATGTTACATTTGTCATTGTTTGAAAACATTTCTGGTTGAAATCCCCTTTTATGTCCTGCAGTGTCCTCTAGTTCAGGGTCATAACTAAGTCCAAGAGATGTGAGCAAGCACAAATGAAAGCAATATATCTACCAGAGTATTAATGATTGCCTAACTGGCATGCACAAATACTAGTTTTGTTACAAATCTTACAGTCCAATTAATGTGCAAGTTTCACCAGAGCAGAAAGAGGGCACTAGAGTCCTCTGTGAACATCTGTGCAGTTTCTAATGTCTTTGCAACTGCCAGGAGAACACATAAAAGCAAACATTATTTTACTCTCTTTTTTTGTACTGTATTGCTTCTGCCTTAAGGATACTTAGCACAAGACCAATTCCTTCCTTTTCAGAAATGGCATAAATTAGCTCAGCATATTTTAGCAGACGAACGTGTGTCCATTTTAATGCAACAAGTTACCCCCATGTAGAAAGCATTTCCTTATGTGACATAGAAGCAAACTGGGAGCAGATTAAAAGATCTGTTGATCCATTTTGAGGGAGAATTGAATTCTTTTCTTGGAATGCTTTTTGGGAGACTGAAGCATTCCTTATGTTTATCCAAGGCAGTTTATGGTGTAAGCTCAGCTGGTGATCCCTGTGATCTCTTGTTAACCTGTAGAATTTGCAACTCCATCCACATGTAGTATGAGCTAAAAGTAAAATGAGATTTGAAGCCATCAATTCTTGCCACCATAAGACATTCTGGGGATGG